GAAATACTCCAGCCCGGCTCCTCCCCAGGCTTATCACCACCACCATCATCATCAGAATGCTTACTACTGAACTGGTTAGGCAGTGACCCTAAATAATCTGGAAGATGGTAACAACTGATGTCTCATCCTCGTCATGGTCTTGTCTGTAAACTTCGCTTCCAAAATCCGAACTAACTCTTACTCTTTTTAATCTCAGTAGCCACATCTCTGGCGTGTTTGATTAAATTATATCTCAGATTACGTGACTCCTTGTCACTATCGTATTACATTTCAACAGACAAAATTTGATCTGGGTTTTGGTTTATAGTTGTTTCCCGCCATTACATTGCATAACCCATCTCGCATTCGAATTCATAAATCAAGACTCTAACTTTATATCGTTGGAAACAGCATTCTGTCTGAATCAGACAAACCCTCTAATCAAGCTCTCTCCAGACATCAAACGGCAACAAAAGAACCCATAAAACCAGCGTACATTACATAAAAAAGACCCTTCTTCGTGTTCTTCCTCAGTCGTTGGCTGTAGCAAGCTGCAGAGACAGGAGTTCGTCCTCGGGGATGGTCTTAATACGACAGTCCGATGTCGGATACGACACGCAGAGGAGCGTATAACCACGCGCTACGACGTCGTCGCTGAGCATGCCTTCGCTCTGGTCAACGGTTCCGTCGACCAGCTTCGCCGGACAAGTCATGCAGACGCCGAGCTTGCAGTCGTGAGGGACATCAAGGCCCGTGTCAAGGGCCTTCGACAGGATCGTCTCGTCCGGTTCAACCTCCAGCTCCGTCGTTGCGCCGTCGTGCTCCACCACCACCTTGAACGACCGAGCCACAAAGCCTCCGGTCAATGATTTACGGTGATCCGCTCGCATAAACGGAATTTGCAGAGGAACCGAGATGGGTTTTGAGTTATAGGGTTTTGGGAGAGAGATTTTCGGCGTTTGAAGGAAATGGAGAGTCGCCATTGTCGGGAGGAGACGCTGGTGCAGAGCTTGTGGTCTGAATATCTCTAGTGGGGATAAGGATAAGGTATGCAACTGGTCATTGTAGTCAGATGACCCACTTGGTTACAGCAATTTTCGCTGGTCTACCATTTTCACATATAGACCAGAAAACAGAAAGTATTAATTTTTTGTGAAAAGACTGAATTAAATACGCAATATTTGTTCTTCGAAAACAACTTTTGTTATTACAACTTCATAATTAATTATAAATACAGTTATAATTGATTCTAAACAATGTGGCAAAAAATTCATCTGTCGAATTTTAAAAAAAACTATGTTTTTTTTTACACTTTCATTATACGATCATAACTATTTCTTATTTTAGTTGTATATTAATTATATGTTAGTGGTAATAAGGTCGAAAAAAAATAAATAAAAAAGAATATTTCGGACTTTTTTAACCGAAAAGTGGTATAAAAATTAAAAAAAAAATTGTTTTTTTATTAGTGTACCAGGGATATTCGTGAGTTTCAAGTGGGTCAATTGAGTAAAATGATCTATGCATGTGCTATGCAGAAAGTTAAACCGGGTTGAACCAGACTTGACCGGTCCTGACCGGGCTCTGGTTGTCCATTCTCTCACTGATTGGTGACAAGAAGCGAAATTTTCTACGTTCTTCGTTAATTTGTCGAATAAAGGTTTATAATTGTAACTAATTGGAAAGAAATTTCTACAATGACCAGAATTATTTAGTTTGATAGAAAATCTTCAACCAGATTAGATTATTTTTAGCTTTTTTTCTGTTTTTAATTTTTTTTTGTGGTTGAGAATACATGAGAGTAGGTGTAATTTTTAATCTTTTCTACATCCATGTGCGTAATCTGGGATATGAATTATGGAAGTTGGTGGAAAAAAAAATATCGAAGTTGGTGTAATCCGGAAAAAAAAAATTATAACCTATAAAAGGAAACATATCTCATAATATATTTGACGTTTAATTTAATTAAATTCCAAACATTTTCGTACGTTCCCTTCACCAAAAGCTCCGTCGGCTCAAAGCGCTTGTCGTCTCGTGAAGGTATCGCTCGTCTTATTCGCATAATGTTTCATTCCTCTGTTTGATCTGCTTCCTTCGCCGTTGATTCCTTATTGTTTTTGTTTTCAGATCGAGTGAAATTGATCTAATTCCGGTGCTTGGTCGATGATATTTTTACAATTATATATTTTGGCGCCGAATTGATTTAATCGGATTATGCTCTTGCGTCTGAGCCCTAGATTGATTTTTTCTTAACTGGGTTTTTGTGATTCTTGAGGGGTTTTGGTAAAGTTCAATCCTTTTTTGATATTTACAGTCATACAAAAAGAAAGTCCGTGTCTTTCTTTTGGGTTATCTAGAGGATTTGGCATGAAAGCTAGTAGAAGCAATGTTATGTTATATAATCTTTCCTTTTGAATGATTGGTTAAAGGGGTGAGAGTACGTTGATTCGATGGATATCTGGTTATGACATTTTTCTTCGATGTTTTTTTGTTTTTGTTAATTTAAGGAGTGAGCTTGTTCAGTCATGGCCTCAGGGATTGCGAAAGATGTGACTGAAGTAAGCTGCAGCGATTTACTTGTTCCAGTTCTGTCTTGATCTTTTTACAGACATTGAATCTTGTCTCGTTGCTGTTTTTGTTTTGTGTTTTTCCTTTCGGCAGTTAATCGGGAAAACTCCATTGGTGTATCTGAACAATGTGGCTGAAGGTTGTGTTGGTCGTGTTGCTGCTAAGCTTGAGTCTATGGAGCCATGCTCTAGCGTCAAAGACAGGTTCCACTAGACATTTTCTCAAGCCAGGAGCCGCTCTGTGTCAGCTTCTGAGTTCTCTTTCTTTTTCTTTTTTTTTTTGTGAAACGTAGTGTTTTGGTACATTGTGCAGGATTGGTTATAGTATGATTGCTGACGCAGAAGCCAAAGGTCTAATCAAACCGGGGGAGGTATTAGATTCTTTATTCCGAGGAGATTTCTTAGCTCGGATTCTTTTGTGCGGGGATTCTGACTTCTTCTGTGTTAATGTTAACATAAGAGTGTTTTGATCGAGCCAACAAGTGGCAATACTGGTGTCGGGTTAGCTTTCATGGCGGCTGCCAAAGGCTACAAGCTCATTATCACAATGCCAGCATCGATGAGTATCGAGAGAAGAATCATCCTCCTAGCTTTCGGAGCTGAGTTGGTTCTGACCGACCCGGCTAAGGGCATGAAAGGAGCAGTTGCAAAGGCAGAGGAGATTTTGGCCAAAACGCCCAACGGCTACATGCTCCAACAGTTTGAGAACCCTGCCAACCCAAAGGTTATATCTTTATCAGTTCTCTAGTGGATCTGAGTGGCGGGGATTTAACTTTAACATTGTATATTTTCACCATCTAATGCAGATTCACTATGAGACTACTGGACCTGAGATATGGAAATGTTCTGAAGGAAAAGTTGATGGCTTTGTTTCTGGGATTGGTACTGGTGGCACCATAACCGGCGCTGGGAAGTATCTTAAGGAGCAGAACCCAAATCTAAAGGTGAGCTTGGTTTGTAAGCACTATTGGGTGGCCTACAAAATGTCCTTTTGTGGGTTGGTTCCTCATTTGTTTTTCTCTTTTGTCTCAGCTGTATGGTGTGGAGCCAGTGGAAAGCCCTATTCTTTCTGGTGGGAAGCCAGGTGAGCATTCACCCTCCTGTATATATTACTGTTACAATTTATCGAATCCCGGGGCCGGTCAATGTTTCTCCATGTCTATTTATCTCTGATGACTAAGGCGAAATCCAATAATCCTTAACCTCCTTATTCCTGCATTCTTTGATTCTGCCTCCCTGATATCTTGAATGGTCATTCCTTCTGTGCTTTTTCTTTTTCTTTTTCTTTTTAGGGAAAAAAATTGAATTGCTTCTATGTTCTTGAGCTGGATCTCTAGTGTCATGTTCATGTAAAGACGAGTGTTTCTTGGTTCTATTATGAATCATTCAGATGATTTTAACATTTCTGGTTAAATGAATAGGTCCCCACAAAATTCAGGGGATTGGTGCTGGTTTCATCCCGGGCATTTTGGATGTTGATCTTATAGATGAAGTTGTTCAGGTAATTTGATCTATTTTTTCTCCAAACAAACTGCATCTAGTTAGTAGAGTTCATCTCTCACTTGCCAAATTCTTCAGGTATCAAGTGAAGAATCCATTGAAATGGCAAGGCTTCTTGCTGTAAAGGAAGGTCTTCTGGTAAGCGCTTTCACAAAACGCGAGCTAAACCTCATCTAGAGCTACAGAGGGGATATCGTCTCTTCCCTTCCTTACACGATGAGGAAAAAGAATATATTCACTGACTCTTTGTTCGATATATTTCAGCTCATCTTTGTTTCTTATGGTTTAGGTGGGAATATCGTCTGGTGCAGCAGCTGTTGCAGCGATTAGACTTGCAAAGAGGCCAGAAAATGCAGGAAAACTTATCGTGGTCAGTCCCTTCGTTCTGTTTCCTATTCCCGATAAACGTCTATTGAAATATTATCCGACCCGTTTTTCCCGAGCATCTAACCTGCATGTTTCTCCATTATCTAACTTCCGGACACGTGAATGAATGCCCTTTCATGTATATGCACGATGCTAGTTTCGACCTTTCTTGTCAAAATAACGGGCAAGTAGACTAAACCTGAAGCCCTGCTGAGGGTATTGGGTATTTCAATCATTCTTCTGATATGTGAGAACTCAAAATGGAATCTCAGGCAGTGTTCCCGAGCTTCGGAGAAAGGTATCTGTCAACTGTACTGTTCGACGCCGTGAGGAAAGAGGCCGAGGCCATGACCTTCGAGCCCTGATTTCTATCCGGAGACTGAATTATCCGAAGCCCTCTTGTTGTAAACTGAATAAAAAAAGATCTTCGGCCAGTCAAAGAGAGATCTTTCATCTTCTGAATCCTTTTTTCCTTTTGTACTTCCACTCTCTGTAATGCCCATCTACTTCTGTCTGCGTCTTGTCTACACGACATGACACTTAGGTTGTTGTTTCCCACTGTGTTTTGCAGATCCTCTGAGTTTGATTTCCTTCGCTTTCTGGTGTGATTTTTTTTTTCTTTTTTTAAATTTCTTCACTAGTAAAAGATGAAGATCATACATCAAATAGTTTTCTCCAATCTACAGCATGCAGAATATGATGTTTTTGACATAATTATTCGAATTAAAAGTATCAAATTACAAATAAAAAGCTGTGTTTATCTTTGAATTTGATTAGAGAGCTGGGTACAATTATTCAAATATCGGTTGGTAAAGAGGAATAAAGAACAATGGGACTCCTCACGACATGAGAGCCGTCGGACCAAACAAGAGATGCGGAAACTGGACCCTTCACGTCCGAAAGGTTTTCGTGAGCGACAGTGACAGTGAACGACTTCTTCTCTCCGACCGATCCAAACACGAGGCTTTCCGGCTCGACAGTGACTTTCAGTTTCGGATCAGACGTCACCTCCGCCTTGTATGTTGAATTCGGCCACCCCACGTTCGTCACTGTTCTCGAAAACACGATTTCCGAAGGAGAAGCTGTCGACACTTTAGATGCCATCGAAGGGTAGTTGAGATCTCTGACGTTCGAGTTCAATTCTTTAGGACAACTTGAGCTATTTCCAGCGATGATCCTTACAGATTCTGTCGTGTAGTTCATAGCGCAGAGCATTTTCACGTAGTCGTCCTTTGTTGCATCGTAAACGAGTCCTGGATCAGCAGATTTTGTCGGGTTGAGATGTCCGGATCCATACGCGAACTCTGCTCCTCTGTTTCTTGAACCATTCATCGCCCATGCTTACATAACAAGAGATTTCGTCCGAAGGTTAGTGATTGAAATGCTCGGTAACAGTTATCATGGCGGTTGATAGTTACCAGTTGTCATGATAGCGGATTTGATAGCGGAAGCTGACCATTCGGGATGGACCGTCTTAACGTAAGCCGCGACACCAGCAACGTGGGGACAAGACATAGACGTTCCGGACGAAAAATAGTACTTGAAATACGGCAAATATGCAGCTATTATATTCACCCCAGGAGCTGTTATATCCGGCTGCACTCGATCCACATTATCGCATATCCAGTGACTTGATCGACACATATGGATTTATTCGATAAAAATTTGATAAGATATATCGATAATCTACCTTTAAGATATCGCTGGCTATGGAGTTCGGACCGCGGGAAGAGAAGGAAGCAACAAGAGGTGCACTCGTGTCTTTGATCGTCTCGCTTTTCAGTATACTCCCTTGCGGGTTTCTGTCGCGATTTCCGAAAACGTTAGGGGATTTCCGAGAAAAAACTCGGGTTTAGAAACTAATGATGCAAAGAATACGTTTTGATCCTTACTCGGTTGAATTGATGTAAGCCAAGAGGGATTTGTAGTCGTCGTCATTCAAGGCGGATATCGGAATACTGCTGGAAATGATCGGGAAGTCGGGTTCTTTCACGATTAGTCCGACGGCCCCAGCATCCGCAGCGACATCTTCTCCGTTAATTACGTCGCACACAACGATCTTTCCCTTGGCCTCTCTCAAGCAACGGAACTCGCACATCCTATATAACAATGAACACAAGAAGAACGAGGCAGAAGAAGAATCATGCGAACTTTTGGCGACTTATTACACAACTGTTATGTCCTGAAATGGCGCAGTTGAAGCGTTCATGCCAATGTCTGGTTTTCGATATATGAAGCGTTTTATAAATTCACCTTGCTTCTTCCTCGGAGCAAAAACTTGCAGGTGTTCTTCCATATGCCAAAGAGAACTTTGTGTTATTCATTCCAAAGCCATTGATGCTTGATGTTCCCTGTTTTTTTTCCCATTACTATCAGTTAACCCGAAGAATGACGCGAGAGTATAACGATGGATGAAAACGTAGCTAGGAGAAGCTGACAAGAACGTAAAAAACCGGGTTAACTTACGAGTAAAGTCGTGCCATTTCCGAGAACAACCTTTGTCGCGAATTCCCGGTCAGTGCTACTGGCTGCGACCGATAACATCCATGGCGCCACGCTGGCGATCGACGAGGGATAAGGGCCGTCGTTTCCAGCGGAGTTTACGGTCAAAACGCCTTTCTCCATCGCGTGGAATGCTCCGATGGAAATGGTGCTTTTGTCGAAACTGACAGGCTTTCCTGCGAGGGAAGCCGATATAATGTCGACACCGTCCGCGATGGCGTCATCGAACGCGGCCAAGATGGCGGCGTCGTCGCAGAGAATGGACTCGCAGACTTTGTATGCAGCGATCCTTGCCGAAGGGACACCGCCTCTCGCCGTGCCTTGTGCAAAGCCGTGGAAACTCACTCCTTGTACTTCGTTACCCGCGGCAGTCGAAGCTGTGTGCGTCCCGTGACCCTCGTTATCCCGTGCGGAGGAATCGACATAGTATCGTGCTCCGATAATCTTGCTGAAGAATCGGTTCAACTCATGAATATCAGTACATTTATCTCTCTTTATCTTTTGTATGACACGGAAAGGTGATGAACTTATCAACAATGGTGTATGTTTACTTGTTGCAGGTGAAGTTTGAGCCTCCTTTGCAAACGCCCTTCCACTTTTTCGGCGGAGGGCCGATGCCTTTATCCGTAAAGCTCGGAGATTCGGGCCAGATTCCAGTGTCGATAACACCGATCACCATGTCGCTCTCGGTCTTCGGGTTACGCTTGAACGTGCCGCCAAACCCCATGAAATCCCACGATCTCGTCGTCTGAAGCTTCAAATCCCTGCTCTCGAACACCGACACCACGCCTCCCATGCCTTGAGGCGTATAACGAGAAAGAATCGACACGAAAAGATCCGCTTCATCGTCAATTTAACGAAACTAAAGCACGGAAAAAAAAAAGATGACAAGGGGCACTCACCAGAAAGCTTATCTCTTTCGGCTTCAGTGAGTTTGGCTGCAAAGCCATTGAAACTTCTTCCATAGCTTCTGACCAACGAATCTCCCACAGAACTACAAAAGAATCAAGATTTATACATGTGATTGTGTGTATATATATATATATATGTATGTATGTATGTATGTATGAACTCAGAAAATGGATAGAGCCTGAGTACTTTGTTCCAATAACTTGTTGGAGGATATTTTGGTGGTGAGATGAAGGCGAGTAGTCCCCGTTAGGAGGAAGTGCTCCCATATACACTATATATACCTTCGTTCCAATCAAGGTCGGTCCATATATTAATTAGCAAACTTATGCATTTATATATATATTATATACACGAAACCAATCATTAGAAGAAAATGAAATAAACTAGCCTTCTTATCACCCTCGGCGTATGCAACGGTCGAATGACAACACGTCGGAAGCGGAGAGAAAAGACAGAAAGCTCGAAAGATGTAATGAAGAGAAATCATTTTGTTATGGTTCAGATAATTGGTAGACTAATAATACGTGAAGATGGTTCATGTTTATATACATAAAAAAAATAATATTTATTCCTCTAAATTGCAAATAAATCCGATTTCCAATGTATAATGTGTACCATAATCGATGTATTACAATATAAATATATTGCATTTATGATATAGATTTTAGTTCCCATTAACACCCAATTGCCTCCTCTCGTTATTATTGCGTGTGTTCTTCTATTGGCAATGCAGATTGAAAATAGCTGAAAAAAGATTCTGTTTTATTTTTAATAGAATTTGATTAAAAAAAAATCTAAATGCATTTTAAAAAAAAAAGGTAGAATACCTACTTAATTCGGTAACATGATTACCATTTACCACATCTCTTGTAACAATATCGAATAAATATCCTGAATTTGATTAGAGAGTTGGGTACAATTATTCAAATAATGTTTGGTTGGGTCTATGAGTAAAGAACAATGGGACTCCTCACGACATGAGAGCCGTCGGACCAAACAAGGGACGCGGAAACTGGACCCTTCACGCCCGAAAGATCTTCGTGAGCCACTGTGACATTGAACGACTTCTTCTCTCCGGCCGATCCAAACACGAGGCTTTCCGGCTCGACGGTGACTTTCAGTTTCGGGTTGGATGTCACCTCCGCCTTGTAGGTTGAATCTGGCGTCCCGACGTTCGTCACTGTTCTCGGAAACACGATTTCCGAAGGAGACGATGCCGTCACTTTAGACGTCATCGAAGGGTAGTTGAGATCTCCGACGTTCGAGTTCGATTCTTTAGGACAACTTGAGTTGTTTCCGGCGATGATCCTTACAGATTCTGTCGTGTAGTTCATAGCGCAGAGCATTTTCACGTAATCGTCCTTTGTTGCATCGTAAACGAGTCCTGGATCAGCAGCCTTCGTCGGGTTAAGATGTCCGGATCCATACGCGAATTCAGCTCCTTCGTTTCTCGAACCATTCATCGCCCACGCTATATAACACGAGATTTTGTCCGAAGGTTAGTGATTGAAATGCTCGATAACAGTTAGTTATAGCGGTTGATAGTTACCGGTTGTCATGATAGCGGATTTGATAGCCGAAGCCGACCAATCGGGATGGACCGTCTTAACATAAGCCGCGACACCAGCAATGTGGGGACAAGACATAGACGTTCCGGTTGAAAAATAGTACTCCAACTTTTGCTCGACCTCGGGCGAATATGCAGCTATTATATTCACCCCAGGAGCTGTTATATCCGGCTGCACTCGAATTCACATTATCGCATATCGAGTGACTTGATCGACACACATGGATTTCATTCAATAAAAACTTGAGAGGAAATATCGATGATTTACCTTTAAGATATCGCTGACTATAGGGTTCGGACCGCGGGAAGAGAAGGAAGCAACAAGAGGCGCATCTGTGTCTTTGATCGTCTCGCTTTTCAGTATACTCCCCTGCGGGTTTCTGTCACAATTTCCCGAACATTAGGACAAAACCGAGGGGGATTTGCTTTATGTTCGGATGTTGATGAATCAAAACTTTATCGATCCTTACTCTGTTGAATTGATGTAAGACAAGAGGGCTTTGTAGTCATCGTTCTTCAAGGCGGATATCGAAATATTGCTCGAAACTTTCGGGTTCCTCAATTCAGCGTTCATGATCAGTCCGACGGCCCCGGCTTCTGCAGCGAGCCCAGCATCGATTGCTATATCGCAAACGAGAATCTTTCCTTTGGCCTCGCCAAAGCAATTGAGATCACACTTCCTATAAAAAAACAAGCGTCTTTGATGAACATAAGAAGAACTAAGCTGCAAACTTTTGTTAAGAGAGCGACATAACCTTGCTTCTTCCTCACTGCATGAACTCGTAGCCGTTTTCCCGTACACCAAAGCCAACTTTGTCCCGTTCATTTCGAAACTATTGATGACTGATCCTCCCTGGTTTTCGTTATCTCGAAATCAGAAGATGTGGAACGATGAAAACGTAGTCACGAGAAGCCAGCGAGAACGTAAAAAATCGGGTAACTTACGAGTAAAGCCGTGCCATTTCCGAGAACGACCTTTGTTACGAATTTGCGATCAGTGGTACTGGCAGCGACCGATAACATCCACGGGGCCACACTGGCGATTGACGAGGGGGAAGGACCGTCGTTCCCACAAGCGTTTACAGTCAAAATGCCTCTCTCCATCGCGTGAAATGACCCGATGGAAATAGCGTTCTGGTCGAGAGGAACAGCCCTCGCTCCGAGAGAGATCGTTATGACGTCGACGCCGTCTGCAATGGCGTCATCGAACGCCGCCAAGATACCTTCGTCGCTGCAGAAAATAAATTTGCAGGCTTTGTATACTGCAATCCTGGCCGAAGGGACGCCTCCTCTCGCCGTGCCTTGTGCTAATCCATGAAAACTCACGCCTTCTACTTCGTTCCCGGCGGCCGTCGAAGCCGTGTGTGTTCCGTGACCCTGGATATCTCGTGCAGTGTCATCGATGTAGTGACGTGCTCCGATAATCTTGCTGTAGAATCGGTTCAACACAAAAAATATCAATACCCTTTATATATCTCTCTATCCTTTGTATGACATGGAAAGCATAGTGTATGTTTACTTGTTGCAGGTGAAGTTTGAGCCTCCTTGGCAAACGCCCTTCCAATTTTTCGGCGGAGGACCGAAGCCTTTGTCCGTAAAGCTCGGAGACTCGGGCCAGATTCCGCTATCGATAACACCAATCACCATGTCGCTCTCCGTCTTCGGGTTATGTTTGAACGTGCCGCCAAACCCCATGAAATCCCACGATCCCGTCGTCAGAAGCTTCAAATCCCTGCTCTCGAACACCGACACCACGCCTTTCTTGCCTAGAGGCATATAACAAGAGTGAAATTGACACGAAAAGATTCGCTTCATCGTCGACTTAAAGAAACTACAGCACGGAAGAAAACGATTACAACGGGCACTGACCACCAAGCTTATCTCTTTCGGCTTCAGTGAGTTTGGCTGCAAAGCCGTTAAGACTTCTTCCATAGCTTCTGACCAACGAATCTCCCACAGAACTACAAAAGAATCAAGATTTATACATGTGATTGTGTGTGGGTATATATATATATGAATGTATGTATGTATGAATTCAGAAAATGGTTAGAGCATGAGTACTTTGTTCCAATAGCTTGTTGGAGGATAGTTTGATGGTGAGATGAAGGCGAGTAGTCACTGTTAGGAGGAAGTGCTCCCATATACACTATATATACCTTCATTTCAATCAAGGTCGGACCATATATTAATTAGCAAACTTATGCATACATATGTGTGTGTATATATATTCATCGAACTAAATCAATGATTAGAGCAAAATGAAATAAACTCGCCTTCTTATCATCCTGGGCATATGCAACGGTCGAGTAACTGAACGTGAGAAGCGGAGAAAAGAGACAGAACACTTGAAACACGTAGTGAAGGGAAGCCATTTTTAAGGTTTAGAGATATCGGAAGACAAATATGTGAAGATGGGTTCGTGTTTATATTCAATGAGAAACTACTAATTAATCAATTTCCTCCTTTTTTTTGCTAATGAGAAAATAATATAAGACGCAACATTTCATTTATGAATTTAGATTTTAGTTTCCATTAATGTTCATCTATTCTTCTTTTTTTATTTTCCTTTTTTTCACTTTCTATCTATTCTTATATTCTGTTCTGCTGTCCAAAAAATCTCATAGAAATAAAAAAATAGTTAACAAAAGATTGTGGTTTTTTTTTTAGAATTTGACAAAATAATAATTTCCAATTCTCTAAAATGGACATTATAAAAAAATATCCGTACTTTACTATATTATACAAACTCTAGATTATACCCTTCTATATACCTTTTTATGTGATCAATATGACCATTATAATCTCACACTCATCACACCCCGTTAAAATTATATGGTGTTCGCCCTAATCACATTGACCACATCGTTTTAAAATTTATATGGTGGTCACACTGTTCATATTAGTCACATGTTAAAATTATATGGTGGTCACAATAATCACACTACACCATTTTTAAAACTTATATGGTGGTTGTACTGGTCATATTGATCACACTGATCATACAAAAAAGATTTAAAAAGGTATGGTATGAAGTATATATAGCAAAATAGTGAGTTTTTATATAATGCCCCTAGATTTTGCAATACCATGTATAGATATTATTAGACACATTCTGTAATGAATGGGTTCTATATATCATATATGCAAGCTTATCATTCATGACTCAATCTGATAATTTATAAGGCATATGACCAAAATTCATGTATACACAAATGCTAGACAGAAACAAAAAGGAAAATAATCTTAATATTTCAGAAGCAAATATCTTCACAAGTTCGAGTATTTATTTGGGAAGTAATATTCACCACGTTTCTTCGATCCTTTTAGATATGTAGTTGGATCAAATGCACGATTAATTTCCGGACTTGATAATTATATCAGAAAATCGCGTTGAGTATTCTTTCGAATCTATAATCGATCAAAACATGATTATCACGTCTCTTGTAACAATATCCAAATAATCCTAAGATTAGACATAAAATAAATGGACAATAGCCTAAGAACATTAACTTTCAAATATTGTCATATGAATAAATGAAATTTAAAATTTTGACAAAAAATACATAAGACTTTGCAAAAATAATCATAAACTCACATACGCTATGAGATATTTGCAAACTTTATGTACGGTTTATGGCAATACAAAGTCTATTTATTTTTATAGAAATTTCAAAATTCATATGACAATTTTTTAAAGTTTCGTGTTTTTTTTTTTTGCGTTATTGTCCCTAAAATAAACAAATTTCGATTGTTAATCTTGAATTTGGTTAGAGAATTGTGTGCAGTAATATAAATATCGGTTGATAAAGATGAATAAAGACAATGGGACTCCTCACGACATAAGAGTCGTCGGACCAAACAAGAGACACAGAAACTGGACCCTTCACATATGAAAGACTGTCGTGAGCGACAACGACAGTGACAGTGAACGACTTCTTCTCTCCAACCGATCCAAACACGAGGCTTTCCGGCTGAACTGTGACTTTCAGTTTTGGATCGGATGTCACTTCTGCCTTGTAGGTTGAATTCGATGGCCCGACATTTGTCACCGTTCTCGAAAACATGATTTACAAAGGAGATTATGTCGTCACTTTAGATGCCATCGAAGGGTAGTTGAGATCTCTAACATTTGAGTTCGATTCTTTAGGACAACTGAGTTGTTTCCAATGATGATCCTTACAGATTATGTCTGTGTAGTTCAAAGCGCAAAGCATTTGTGTCTCTGATCATCTCGCTTCCAAAAAAGTCAGGGAATTTCCACGAAAATCTCGGGTTTAGAAACTAATGATGTAAAGAAAACGTTTTATCCTTACTCGGTTGAATTGATGTAGGACAAGAGTGTTTGGTAGTCATCATGTTTCAGACCAGACATAGGAATGTTGGAAACTATCGGGTCGTCTGATACTTTGGGGTCGTCTAAATCTACGAACCCGATCAGTCCCACGGCCCCGACTTCCGTTACAGACTCACCATCGACTATCCCATCACAAACGAGAATCTTTCCCTTCGCCTCGTCCAAGAAACGAAGATCACACCTCCTATATATATTGAAAAACAAGTTTGTTTTGATGAACCATTTAAAACTTTGGATCGAAAAAGCGGGTTCTGGTTCACCTTGCTTCCTCCTCGCCGCATGAAGTCGTAATCATAGCCATTTTCCCGTATGCCAATGGAAACTTTGCTCCATACATTCCAAAAACATTGATGGTTGTTCCTCCCCGTTTTGTTTTGTTACGAAGCTTGTATTATATTTTCATTCACAAGCTTCTTATCTTCTCTTCTTTAGCGCATAGTGCAAAGAGAAAAAAAACGAGAGAATATTGAAGATTTATAGCACTTATGCTTAGAACTTTTGTAAGAAAAACAAGAGAGAAAAGTGTTTAGAGAGAAATACTTAGGAAAGCTTGATATAAAACACTCCATATAATACCCCCTTGATATAAAACAACCACACACCTCATCAATCAATCACATCTACCATATCCTTATTTTTTTCAATCACACCTAACACACACAAATTCAAACTTCCACAACTCCTTACATAAGCATTACATCATCACGATGTAATCGCTTATATAAGCATTACATAAACATGATGTAATCGCTTACATAAACATTACATAAACATGACACAAGTGAATGAATCACATTCTCAATACTCCTCCTTGATTCATTTGCACGTCATCCCAAGTTTCTTCTTCAAATCTTCAAATCTTGAAGCTCCTAGTGCCTTTGTGAAGATGTCTGCCAGCTGCTCTTCTCCTTTGACGTATGTGAGTTTGATGACTCTATTGTGCTCCACTTCTCTAACCACATGATACTTGATGTTGATGTGCTTCGTCCTCCGATGTTGAACCAAGTTTCTTCCAATGACAATAGCTGATTTATTGTCACAGAAGATCTGTGTACTCCCTTCTTGCTTGCATCCTAGACTATCAAGTAGATTCTGAAGCCATATGGTTTGGTTCACCGCAGCGACTGCTGAGGTATATTGTGCTTCCGCCGTTGATTGTGCGATCACCTCTTGCACCACAAGAAAATTCTCGTATAGCTACGGAACTTGCGACGAAAAATTCCGTCGCATACAAAATTACGACGGAATACGACGGTTTAGCGACGGAATGCGGGAAAAAATTTTACGTCTCAAAGAGTCGTAAAATCCGTCGAAAATTTGCGACGGAATGCAACGGAGATGTTGCCGTCGCAATAACAAACATTATTTGCGACGGAAATTTCCGTAGCAAATGTTAATTTTAATTATTTTTAATTTAATTTATTTATTTTTCAGAATTAGCTACGGATTTGCGACGGAAATTTTCGTCGTAAATACTAATTTCATTTATTTCGTTATTTTCAATGAAAATTTTCAAATTTTCGCGGTTTTTATTTTGTTTTGCGACGGATGGCGACGGTAATTTCCGTCGCAACACGAAATAAAAGCACCGACTTCGTCTTCTTTCTTCAGACTTTGAAGTTTCCAAAAAAAAAATCTTAATCTTCTCCAATTTTCTTCCAACGTTGTTTTCCTTCAAGATATCTCCAAGATATATCAAGGTATGTGTATATGTATATGAGTGTGAATATGTATATATGAGTATATATGGATTATATATGTGTATGTATATTTTGTGTGTATGTATGTTTATGTGTTGTTAATGTGTGTGTATTGTATGTATGTATGTATGTATGTATGTATGTATGTATGTATGTATGTATGTATGTATGTATGTATGTATGTATGTATGTATGTATGTATGTATGTATGT